TCTACGAAGTGAAACCGGCTGATGAATCAGGCTAAATTAAACCTACACTTTTCCATGATCCATCCAACGTCTTCCTCCACTGTCCTACCGCTGGTGCCAGAAATCAAAGTATTGTTTGCGTGTACTTCATTAGACATTCATTCACGTTGTTGTTTTGTTTTTTTTTCCTCCCTCCATTTAACATTGCACTGCAGCCTGGTTGAGTCTACAAAAAAAAAAATAGGCTAATGAAATTTAAGACCTTTGCGAAGAAAAATACGACTTGAACAACATAATTTAAGAATTTTTAAGACCTCAATTTAGGAACATGAAATTTAAGACCTTTATAAGACTTTTAAGACCCCGTGGCTACCCTGATTATTAGTCTGTCTGCATCTCCAAACTCAAAATGCTCTGTTCCAAGCTTGTAGTGGACCACCACAATAAATTTGCTCTTGAGTAACTTTACTTTGGCATCTCTTGTTTTGGAATTTAAAATAACTGCTATCTTCTGACAATAGACACTGTTTTACACTATGTCCACAATACTGGGAACTGGGATTAAGTTTGTAGTCTACTGGCACTAGGTTTGCCAACTCCCTGAAAAATAAATAAGGGGCACCTCATTAGCAGGGCCGGTGTCCTGTTGATTTGAGCTACCCGTCGAAGTGTACTGGTTTTAGTGCATGTTTTGACCAGTTAAACATGTAAGCATGGACATGTGCCTGTTAGATTTGCAGCAGAATTCGCTCATTTCGACAACGCAGCCCATTTCGACAGAACACCGTAAAGCACTGTCGGCGCCACTGTCGTCCACGCTGCTTTGTTGTTTTCTGGTGTCTTCATTGCGATGCAAGCAATCTCGACCAATGAGATGATGAGCTGGATGTGAGTGTGCTGTCGGCTCATTGATCACTGAACAGGAGAAGCTGAGAATACGTTTACTGTAAATTTTCTTACGAAGCGCCATGTATTCATTCATTCCATTGGCTACACACTATTTTTGATTCTCACGGTAATACGGGACAGAGAGCGTCCCTTTTCAGCTCAATATAGGACTTTCCACTTTTCAAGGGATGGTTGGCATCCCTAAGTGGCACAGAAGGGTATTACATCTGAAAAATCAAACTCTAAAGTTGGTTACCTTTTCTGACATGCAGTTGCAATGAGCAGCCTTTTTGATGGAAAGGCTTTGAGGGAACAATGTTATAATGTGGTATATGCTCCAAAACGTTCCAGTTTTGTGAACACCTTTTTGAAACATAGGCCTACCTGGAGCTGTGTTTTGTATTAGATACACATGTTTGACCTCACAAACCAGCATGTGCAGTTTGACCCACGTTAATCCTCCGTGTGACCTCACATACCAGTGTGTACAGGCTCACATTACACACAGATCCATCTGTGATTAGTCTGTATGAAGGATTTGTATTCAATATTTCATAAACATTACTTATCTGTATCAGAATGTAGACATATTAACAGCAGTCCCCAAACCCCGGAGCCACCCACAGTTTTTGTGTTGGTCTTATCATTTTATTTTGTCATATTTATCCACCACACCTTAAAGGCCGGTCCGTGAAAACATTTGTCTGACATTACAACGGTCCATGGTGCAAAAAAAGTTGGGGACAGCTGCTTATTAAGATAAATGTTCAACTAAAATACTTTACAGTTAACGTAGCTTTTACTGATGACTGATAATTAAGTAATGTGGAATCATAACTACAAAACTATTGTACATAATGGCCAAGTTGTTTCTGTAATCATTTGATGATTATCCAATCAGAGAAGCAGAATAAACCTCATGAGTCCCTTATTTGAGTTGCCTGTTCCTATGCTGAAATCCAGTTGTTTTGAACCTAAAATGCCTCTTTCTGATCTGAATGGTCACTACTTAAACCCCGGCATCTGCAGCCAATCATGAATCAGTGCTAGTGCAGCGAGGGAATTCTGGAAGACTGAGAATGAATGTTGGTTAAGGCTGCTTCAGTTGTCATTAGCGTAAATACCTTTATAAAAATACTGTGACAGCGCAGTCCACATTACTTAAAAGATGAAAAAAAACAGTAGTGTAAAATATATCTCCTCTAATCCAGATTTAGTGTGAATATGCCACACTTCCTTTGAGTGTGTTCAGTGGCACGTCTGTGTAACACTGAGTTTAGCTGGAGCTTTCACTGTGCCTGTCTCTCTTTCCTGTGCTGACGCTCTAATGAGCCCAGCATCCACAAACGCGGCAGGCCTGTTAGCGCTCAGCACAAACCAAGCCTCCAATCAACACTATTTTTAGGACACAGAGATGGTGTAGTACTCCTCCAAACTCCACACACTACAGCAGGAGTTCTGTGTGGAGTGGAGCAATATTGCATTACCATATTTTAGCTTCTATAAGTGCTGACAATGCATGGTTTAAGATTAAGACTGTGACCTAGCAAAAGAAAACTATTTTTTCAGTGGATATGTTTCCTCTCTCATTCTATGCAGCTTTTTGGTTCTGGTAAGGGACTGCCATTAAGCTTTCTATTATAAAAACAATATATATTATAAAATAATATATATAATAGAGAATACAAATAGTTCCTAAATGATTCATTAGGGTCATGAACTGTTATGCAAAATATAAATGCAACAGTTTACACCTTAGGATAGCTCAATGGATTTAAAAATTGAAACTAAACCCTAGTTGCTTAGAGTCAGCAGGATGTGTCATTAGCTCCTCCCCTCAGACAGATATTGTGGCTAAATATACCGTGAGGACGATGCAGGTCAGTGGTAGCACAGAAAAATGGTTTTGAACTGCAGAGACAGACTGAGGCTCACTGGGGCACAGAGGCTGGAGAAGTGTCGTGCAGAAATAAGTTGATCCAAATTGCCTCGTCAAACGGAAGATAACGTCTAGCTCCGCGCTGTCCATTCATACAAATATAGCCTACATGAGCCATGCCTTTTCAATCCAGTTTCAAGTGCTTTTGCTTTCACCGCCGACCACGCAGTCAGAGTGAAGCTAACTGGAGGCGCTGTTACTCAATTATGACTTTAATTTGAGCTTTACTTTGAAAATAGACAACAGGTTAGCAGATTTGTGCCATAACAAACCTTTTAAAATAACATACAATGTTAGGGAATCACTGGTCGGACCCAAATATGCAGAGGGAAAAAAGTATTTATTACACAAAAATAGTCTTGGCGGGGGGATAGATTCCAGGGGAGGCAAGAAGGGTCCGGGTTGGCTGCAGATGGGAGGTCTGTGGAGATGGAGGCTGACCGGAGGCTTACAGAAACTGGTGGGTACGGGATGAGGCTGGCTCCAAATGAAGTGCTGGGGATAGTACAAAAGAAACAGGTAAGCATCAGAGTAGTTGAGAACAGGAAGAGGCAAGCAGGTCAGCAGGTCTTTTATCAGGATGGAGAACAGGGTGCAGTTCAGCAGGTGTGGAGGAAATGCAGGAAGCAGAGAGTTACATACAAGTTACTGACATTAGCCAAGTGTTAGTCAGTTAGTCATTCTCTCAGCTTTTTTGTTGAAAACACTAGTGTTGTAGTACTCAAGACCAGTCTTGGTATCAAGACCAGCCTCTTGTCTCAGTCTCGAGGTCTGATACTCGACAGGTGATAAACTGGGGATAGATTTATAAAAACATTGATTATATATATATATATATATATATATATATATATATATATATATATATAATAATATATATAATCTTCCAGAATAACTGTAAAATACAAATAAATGTAGAAAATGACAAAGATGGTCTGGATTTGGTCTTAACGGACTATGGTCTCAGTCTTGGCCTTTAAAAGTCTCGGTCTTGTCTTGATCTCGACCTTCAGAGGTCTTGGTCTTGTTTCTGTCTCGGGACCCTGTGATCTCAGACTGGTCTTGGTCTCGATTAGTGCGGTCTGGAACACTAGAAAACACCCAAACAGGACCATGTACACTCATACTAAGTCAACAACATCATGCATTTTCAACACTTAAAGTTGAACAATTATTGAGCCATCCAACCCAATATTTGTTCAACTTAAAGTGTTGAAAATGCAAGATCTTGTTGACTTAAGTATCTTCAAAGTCATGTATAAAGCAAAGTGCAATGTATCACCTGTAAATATTCAAAGACTATTTGAGATGAGAAAACGCCACGACAATTTAAAAGGAACCTACATGTTTAAAAAACCCAGATTCAGAACCAAGGTTATGAAGCGAAGCATCGCTGTGAAAGGAGTAAACTTATGGAATAGTCTTGACAAAGAAATAAAAGAATCAAGTACAATGATGACATTTTAAAAAAATACATAAAATCAAATGCAACATGTTTGTACGAAAAAGAAAACTAAGTTGTTGTGCATAAAAGTGAAGATTACTGTTTGCAACTGATCAGTAATTGTGCCTGAACTGATTTGGAATGTTTAGTGACCATCGGTGTTGATGTGTTGTCTTGAAAGGGGAAAGGAGAGCAGATAACATAAGATTTCTCTTCTTTCTGCTCCTTTTCATTCATTTCTTGTATGTCTGATGTTTTGACACTCTCGATGTCTTTTTATACTTTATGAAATAAATAAATATTGATCACATGCTCCTGAAGACCTGGTACATTACTGCAACAAGTATCAACAGAGGCTACTAGAGGCAACATTATAACATGACTGGGTGTTGGAATTGTGTTTAATTTATGAGAATCCTTCCAACACAGTTGAGACTTTGCAGCTGGTATCATCAACATTCTCTGGAGGCATGATACTAACTATCAATCCAACAGGCAGATTGTGTCTTTAGAGGTGGAGACTTCTGGGACCGTGAGAACTTTGCTAAACATGATTACGTCACTGCCTTGTAATTTACTGAATGAGAGAGGCCCACTACTTCAACACCTCCAAACTTCAGCACTGTGGCGTGGCTGTGTCTGAGCAGGGGGAGGGCTTCTACTGGGCATTCTTGCACATGTCCACTCTAGCGGCAGCAGCAGGCAACAGAGCCAGAGGGAGATAAGGAGACAGGCCAGAGCACGCACACTCTGAGCACTGAGCCACGGAGCTGCGAGGTCCCCCAGAAAACGACCTGATTTCTGGAGCGTTACTAAGAGAAGTTCTCCTGAAGGCGGTGTGTGCATCCCAAAGAGGACAGAGTCAGGAGCACATGGGATAGATCCTTCTGCCAACGCATTCCAACAGAAAGTTCAAGCTGCCCTGGAAAACTGTAAAGCAGAGGTGGGTGGCCGGAATACAATGAAAGTGAAATCGCTGCATGTGTTTTATGACTTATTTGCAATTCTACAACTTTAAGCCTTGATCTGTGAACCGAAACCTCCTTCAAATATTTGTCATTGATAAGGTTTCTGTAGCCAAGGTTATTTAAAGATTGGAAACGGCAGCTTTTTACATGAAGTGATTTAGCAAAAGCAATGTTCACTAAAGTTCTTTTCCTTTAGTCATAGTTTGTGTTCTATTCAGGCTAATTTTGAATTTATTCTAAAGATTGATTAGTTAGACGATTATTTATGCAGTAATTTTTCAAATACACTTTAACCATATTAATTAAAAGAAATGCTGACAGAAGACTTTTAGAATTTAAGAGTGTAGTATTGAAAATCACACTTCATAAAGTTTTGTCATTGTGGTTTAGTAACGCTGCTGTCTTTGTGATTAAATACCTTCGGCCATGTGTTTTAGGCTCTGTAGAGTGAGTGATTATTTTAGTCATCTATTAGTCACGACTTTTCTAATGCCGTTCTAGTAATTTTGTTTTTCTCTGTGAAAGCTGAAATACTCAAATTATTTTTGTCATAGATGAGTAAATTCTGTTTTCCCCACAGAATGTTTATTGAATTTGTGACAAACATCTGACTTATCTTAGAAAACATATTATTTATCGCAAACTTGAGCCGTGTGAGTCAATATATGACACTTTGGGATGAGTGGATTGGCTGTACATGTGTGGTCCACTCTGTTTCAGTTTTCGACCAGACAAAAGCTGACCAATTTTTTTATTTTTTTTTTTTGCATTTGAATACTGGAGCTAGAAACTACTAATAGATGTAAATACATACCTACATACACAGTTTAAAAATCATGTACCCCAGCTTGAATGAAATGCTTAAAATATTTGTTGAACTTCGAGGACCTGATTGTCAAATAATGGTCCAAAAAAACAGGACTGAATAGATTTTTATTCAAAAGTATTGAGGATAGATCATTCACATTAACCTATAATTGTAGTAACAATACAATAACACTTTGATTTACTTTTCAATTTTTTTATTTTACCAGCAACCCCAATTCTGTAATATACACCGTGAGTTTGGGTAAAGTTTTTGGGTGAGCTAATTAAATTTAACTAAACCAGACTTAAATGTTCAGTGTTTTTAATCATTTCTTTAAGTGTTCTTCAAAATGTGAGACCATTTCCTCTCCCAGTAACACAAAGTCGGGAGCAGGTCACCGCGCACTCTGTTGCAGTTCAAACATTCTTTACTCAGGACTTTCTTCTCAAGGTCTTTTTCCCAATGACCTCATTCACAAACACAGTCTCTACTCAGCGAGAACGTACACAAGGTGGCCTTATTTGGTACGTGCAAGAAAAATACGGATTCATAAAACAGTGAATCAGCGTATTGTGGTCAGGAGTATCTAGTTGGAGGGCACCAACCAGTCAGATCAGAGGAAAAGTAACCCATGTTCACTGAAGAATGCAGTTGTACCATGTTTAAAAACAGGTACAGACTCATCCTGTCTAATCTCTAATGACAACTGGTTCCACAGCCGAAGGGCAGAAACAGAAAACACACGGTCCCCACGAAGTTTACGTTTAGTTTTTGGGACGGGAGCTGGAGTTGATCTGCAGACCTGAGAGTGCGAGAGGGGACGTAAGGGTGGATCAAGTAGGAGGGCGCTAGACCGTGCAAACACTTAAAAGTAAATAAAATAATTTTAAAATTGACTCTAAAAGACACCGGGAGCCAATGGAGAGAAGCTAAAATAGGTAAAATGCTCTCGTGTTTCCGGGTTCTAGTTAAAAGTCAAGCCGCTGAGTTTTGGACCCATTGCAATTGGGAAAGTGTATTTTGGCTGACACCAACATCAAGTGCATTACAATAATCCAATCTAGCTGTCACAAATGCATGTATGACAGTTTCGAAGTGTTGCGTTGACAAAATAGGCTTAATTTTGGCCAGTTGTCTTAGCTGGAAAAAAAAAAAATTTTTATTTTACAACAGCACTAATTTGCTGATCAAGTTTTAGATCTGGGTTCATTTTGACACCTAAGTTTGTAACAACTGGCTTCACTAAATTATTTAATGAACCCAGGTCCACAGGAAAAGAAGAATTTAAGGAGCTAGGGCCAAAAAACCATAACTTCAGATTTTTCCTGATTTAGGTGCAAAAAAAATTCATGACATCCAAGATTTTATGTCATTTATGCAGTCTAGAAGTGATCTGGCAGCCTGCATATCATGTCTCTTTAATGGCAGATAGATAGTTGTGATGGAATAGATGCAAGATTTTAAATTCAATGCCATACAGTGGAACATACCAGGCAAAGCTATATTCTCTATGGTGACAAGTGGAGAACACCTCACCAGAAAAGTTACATAATGTACCTTTAAAATGATATTGTATATGACATTTGCAAATGGCTGATGATTACTGTTGAACTATGTTTCTGTGTAGACTCTGCACACTGAGCGATAGGTGCGTTGGAGGAGAGGCTCTTAGCTGTTTTCAAGAAAAATCCCGCACACAGTCTCACTCCTGTTTTTCTTTTATTGATACGACATTTTGGCCCCTGAGGAAGGTCTGAGGGACTGAAACGTCTTCTCAATAAAAGAAAAACAGGAGTGAGACAGTGTGCGGGAGTTTACTATTGAACTATGGAAATGCTCTTATAACAAAAATCAAATAAAAGTTGTCTAAAGCCCTCACACTACACAGAATAATTTGCCCAATTTGCTACTCCCCAAATTCAGGGAGGTGTGACCAGATTTTGAGTCTTGGTATCTGATTTTGAAGCTGCTGTGTGTGTGGTGTCAGAGTGAGAGTGAGCTGCTTTTTCATGGTAACTAAAAAAAAACATCACCACGGCAACAGCCAATAAAACAGAGCAACTGGGGCAGACGGAGTAAAACACAGAGGTGCAAGATACAAACTCAGGAAACAGAATAATGAGTTGATTTATTACTATTATAAAGCTGTCACTTTAAACTGCAGCATCTCATCCATATTATCAATAGAATTTGTCCTCTGCAAATAATCACACCCAGTCTACAAAACAGCCTTAGTTTTGTTTTGTTTTTTTAGTAAAAAGGCAAGAGTAGTTCCTCTCGTATGTCTGTTTACTATGAAGGTAAATATGTTGCAAAATGGGAGAGCGTGTAAAGTTGATTTGAGAACATGTAGAATATAATTTGAGAATGTGTGGAACAAAACTTTGAACTTGTAACTGCCTATTTGCATATATGTGTGTGGTGAATTTGCAGTCATGGTGAAAAAAAAACGGACTGAGATCAGGACTGAGACCTGGTTTATCCTGGTTCAATTCTGGTGTAGTCCTGGTTTATTCCTGAGTCGTATGCGATTCAAAAGACAGTTTAAGTCACGTAAACGGGACATTTTGGCTGTTATCCATTTTTTCATTTTGGTTTTGGTGACAAATAATGAACAAAATAGTTTTTGTTTTGTTTTGTTTTCTTATTTTTTATTTTATTTTGAAAAAAAAAAAAAAAAAAAAACCTCGTCAAACCCTCCTCCCCTCCCTCCCCCCAGCTCTCTACAAGTGCAAATCGGTTTTGCCACATGCACATCGCAAAATGTGTTGCAAAGGTCAAGGCACGCAGATTTGAACCTATTTGAGAAGTTGCAGTTGCTGAGTTGTGGTTGTTTCTGTCATAATGGATGCAGATGTCACTCTGGTGCAAATATCAATCAACACATTTGTTCATATTTTTTCTCCCGTGTGTGTAAATATTTTCCACAAGTGAAAATTTCACTCCGCAAGTGCACACATTTTTTTCAAGAACTTGTGTGTTTTTTTTTTCACCATGACTGCAAATTCACCACACACGTATATGCAAATAGGCAATTACAAGTTCAAAGTTTTGTTCCACACATTCTCAAATTATATTCTACAAGTTCTCAAATCAAGTTTACACACTCTCCCATTTTGCAACATATTTACCTTCATAGTTTACATCCATGCAGTGTGGGGATCGAGCTGTTGCATATTAGTGATAGTGACTCTACTGTGTGCTTTATCACCAGCCTTCTGTGCATTAAAAATCATTTATCTGAAGTACTGCATCACATTTTACAAACAGTGTTGGGGAGTAACAATTTACATGTACCTGTGTTACGTAATCAGAGTACAAATTATTAGTAACTGTATTCAGTTACAGTTACTGTTTCAATGAGTGGTAATTGGATTACATTTACTTTGTTGAAATAAATGGATCACATGGCGGAATTTTCCAGTTTTTACGTTTTGGGCTAAGCCAGGACTAAACAGAACTAAAATCAGGACTAAACCAGAACAAAAATAGAAATAAATCAGGTCTAAAACCAGGACTAAACCAGGTCTAAACACTATGACACTTAAAGGTTGTATAGAGGATTTTCCAAGGAACGAGAAATCCAGCGACTGTTTGTCCTGTTTCAAATGTTGCGCATGCGTGAAACCACCCCCCCCCCCCCCTCCCTACAGCTCCCTACGTAGAAACGCCTCCTCCCGCCTCCTCCTTTACGCCAGAAACAGGTTTGTTTACAGCCGGTGCGCTGCACATGACTTGTAAACAACTAACTACAGTGTTGGTTAGGCAAGACGGAGAAGTGAGGAGCGGGGGGAGCGGGGGGAGCGGGTGTGCGGACATTTCGTTCGCGGACGAGAAGTGAGGAGCAGGGAGAAGAGCGGAGCAGGGAGAGAGGAAAGGAGAGAGGAGAGGGGAGCGGTGCGCGAGATTCCGTGCCCGAGAGTGAGGAGCAGGAGAAGAGCGGAGAGGGAAAGGGAGGGGAGAGGGGAGCGGTGCGCGGAGATTCCGTGCCCGGAGAAGTGAGGAGCAGGGGGAAGAGCGGAACGGGCAGCGGGGAGAGGAGCAGGAAAGGGGTGCAGAGAAGGTTGCGCGGAGATTCAGTGCGAATGAACTAGCTACAACACGCAGCAGCAAGCGGACTCTTTCTTTGCCTTGAAAATTACGTTTTCAGACATAGGATATCGCTTTCGTGTCCTGAAAAACGTTTGTCTAGCTCTTGGAAATAAAGTACGTTTTCATAATAAGCAGAAGTGACCTGTCCAGGAGTAATTTGGCGACCAGTGCGTCAGTCTTTAGACCCTGCGTCTGCTTCAGTCGCGCCATCGCTGGAATGAATCTATAAGAATCACCTTAGTTTGGCTTCGCTGCTTTTCCCCTTGTCTTCTTCTTTCAGCGACCTCAAAAACGGACTTTCTTTTGCGGCTAACTGCTCCTGGATTCTTGTCTGCCATTGCAACAAACTTTGTGCGAACTGCGAGGAAGATATAGGTCAAAAAAAGTCGCCAAGAACTGTTGCGTTGGTGGAGTAAACAGCGTCTGTGCGTCTTGCGTCTGTGGACTGCGTGACAGTCGTACGTAAACCACGTACCGGCGGCGCGCAGGCAAGTCAGTTACGCTAGAAACGTAGGGAGTTTGATTGACAGCCTGTCAGCTAACAGATAACGAGGCAGTGTCGTTATCTATTGGCAAATGTTTAGCCCCACCACGTCCAGAGTTGATGAATTTTTATTCTCTTTTTTTTGGTCATCATAATTACAAGGCTACTGCACCTCTATAATCTATCATTGACAACTTGAAACAAAAAAAATCCTCCATACAACCTTTAACAGTAGGGTGGACATAATTTAAGGTGATCTCATATCGAAATAATTTTTCCATCAATAATATTTTTAATACGGTTAAGAAAAGACTGGACTTTTTATTGTCTTTTAGCAGACAACAACATCTCATGTTAAGATCTTCGTCTTTACTTCTCTACAGCAAACAAAAGTCTGTTCATGGAGACTTGGGCTCAACAGACAATTTAAAGAGAACAAACAAGACAATATCAAGTAATCCAAAGTATTCAGATGACGTGACTCACCTAAAGTAATTTAATAGATTACGTTACAAACTACATTTTTGGGTATGTAATCTGTAATCTGTAGGGGAATACATTTTAAAAGTCACCTCCCCAACACTGTTTACAAATAATAATAACACACTTTTGACTTGCATCTAATCTAGAAGTGCAGTGCTCTGATTGTTTGAACACGTTAGAGGCTCGAGTCAGTTTACACTAGACAGGAAACAGGTGAGGCGAGTGTGCTAGATTATTAGCTGAGAACATTTAGCTTGTGGTGTGCTCTCTTTTCTCTGCAGTCTTTGTGCTCGGCGATTCAAAATGACTCTTCTTGTGTCTGGTCTGCGCTTTTTGTTGCACAATTTAAAAAAAAATGTTGAAAGTTGCATTGCTCAACTTTTCTGGCGGAGGGTCTGTCACCTGCTTGTCTTCGTGGAGATGTTTTTGCTTTGCCTGGAATGTTCCGTGGTTGAGATTAAACCTACCGTATTTTTCGGACTATAAAACAGATTGGATTATAAGGCGCAATATCAAAAATGTTGAATTCTCTCATCTATTTTCATACATAAGGCGGATTATAAGGAGCATTATGCAAAACAAAACAGAGAGGTAAATCAAACTTTATTCAGCTCATTCACAATAATTTTCCAACACTGTTCAGCTATAACACGTACTCTCACTTTTTCAGTTCAGTCCTTTTCCACAAATCCATCAAATTCTTCATTTTCAGTGTCTGAGTTTAACAGTTGGGTGATTTCGACATCAAGCATGCCTGGGTCCCTCTCGTCATTACCCGAGTCAGTCTCGTTGCTTTCACTTTTTTTTCAGTGATGATTCCGGCCTTCGTGAAAGCTCAGACGACACTTGAGACCTTGATACCTTAGCCCAGGCATCCACGGTCCCTCAAGCAGTGCGGCTTCGTAGCTTACCAAAGTTGTACTAAAACATTTTGACACTTTTTTGAGCACCGTGTACCACATAAAATCGGTTTCGAGGTCAGCAAGCACCAGCAGAATTAATACATAAGGCGCACTGTCGATTTTTAAGAAGCTTAAAGGATTTTAAGTGTGCCTTAAAGTCCGCAAAGTACGGTATCTCTCCAGGTAGACAAAAATAGGCTACATTACTGGTCAGATCTGTGGAGAGGCAATCTTATTCACAGAGAGACTTATTGCATTTTTGAGCAATAGATACGGAAGCCGAGAGGGGTCACAACAAACGCAAACGCCGCAACAAATACAAATGCGACAACACAAACGCAAATGCCGCAACACATCAAAAAGCCACAACAGAAGTGACCGAGAGACTCTATTTTCCGACAGACCGATCATGCGGCAAGTGAAGAAGAAGAACTACAACGTGAAATGAATAATGATAAAACAATAAATAACTTTTACTTACGTTTCCAACTTCTCCGTTCCTTTACTTTTCACGTTGCAGTACTTCTTCTTCACTTGCCGCTTGATCGGTCCATCGGAAAATAGAGTCCCGCAGTCACTTCCGTTGTGGCTTTTTGATGTGTTGTGGCTTTTTAATGTGTTGCGGCATTTGCGTTTGTGTTGTGGCGTTTGTATTTGTTGAGGCGTTTGCCTTAAAATAGAGTCCCGCGGTCATTTCCGTTGTGGCTTTTTGTTGTGTTGTCGCATTAGTATTTGTTGCAGTTTTTGCGTTTGTTATGACCCCTCTCGGCTTCCGTAAATAGAAACATCCGTACTGAATAATTGCCAGATAGATGTGTTTAATGTTATACCACGGAACATTCCAGACAAAGGAAAGTAGGTGATGGAATCTCCACCGGAAAAGTTGCACAATGCACATTTAAGACAGAAAAAATCCTGTAGTGTGTGGCGGGTTTTAGTATTGAAGTATCTCGTTTTCATATCTTTAAAACCCCACACCCCTCCGCAGGTGACCATGTCCGGCCCCGACCCCGACGCGTCTCCTGGAGTGGTGCGCCTCAACAGACCTTCTGACCTGGAGCTAGCGGAGACGGCCTTCTCCTCCTCCGCAGAGCCGGACAGGGACAGAGACCGGACCCCGGGGGACGACGACAGCGCCAACGTGACCCTGCCCGGCGTCCACGTCCACCCCTACCTGTCCCACCCCAGAATGTCCGTACGCATGTCCATCTACAGCACAGCCCCGCGTCCCACCGTCACCTATAGCTACGTCCAGGGGAAGGTCTACAACTTCCTGGAGAGGCCCACGGGATGGAAGTGCTTCATGTATCACTTCTCTGTGTAAGTGCGTTCTCCTCTTGTTCTGAAATTGAAGGTTTCTGAGGTAAACATTAAGGAGAGACACTGCAATACTAGTGTGTACTTTAGTAAATAGTATCAGCTTGTGTTTGGAAATTGAAAGAGGAAAATGATAGGCCTCTACGTGTCTGCAAACAGATCCTTTTGCTGGTGATGCTCGTTTATGTTTTAGTTTTGTATGTGCCGACAGAGCGCGTAAAACTCAGTGCTCATGTTTTGTTTCACTTTTCCTGTGATATTTGAAGGGCTCATATTGCGCTTTTTTCTGATCTAAGTTATAATATAGTATCGTGAATTGTGTTGTGGTTCATTCACACGTTTACCGCACAAATCTTCTACAAAAAACTACATACTTTCACTAGAGTTATTTGGATAATTTCAGTTCTAGAATGGCCAATTTCTACTGAACTAAAGGTAAAAGGTAGATGTTAACTTGCAAACTACTGCTTCATGAAATCACAAGGTGGAAGAGAACAATTTGAGCTTTGGAGAATATATATAGTCTAATAATAAAGGATTACTCAAATATTTGTGAATTATAGTGTAAGACTACGTTCAGACTGCAGCCTGAAATTTCCCAAATCTGATTTTTTCACCCCTACGTGACCTGTATCCGATCTTTTAATGACGACACAGATCCGATTTTTTCAAATGCAGCGCAGGCCACTTGGATATGTGCTCCTAAAACTGATACATATCCAATCTTTTGACATTTGACTTCAGTCTGAACGGCCTGGTCACATTCATCCACGTACATGTCACAGATGTACACAAACGTTCTTCTCCTCATATGAAAATTGTGTCTCAACTCCGTGTGAGTGAAGCAGTGAAGCACATATCAGTCCCACGATTCTTCATACCCACACGTTCCTTTCTACGGACGTTGCTGCCGCTGCCCCACAAAACGCCATGGCCAAAAAACCTCGTCCTTCTCCTCTTCAGTCTCCTCCTTAAAACAAATAAGCTGTACATGTTCTGGCTCCGGCACCACAGCAACTTTGAAATCTCCAGGTGTCATGTCGTCGTGTCCTCCAGTGTGCATGAAGGACACTTTTGGGGCGTTTAAAGTTCTCACTGGAGATCACATACAAATCACATTTAATTGGAAATGTGAACGGCCTCATTAAAAATGGATTTCACAAAAAAATCCAAATTGAGCATTAAGCCTTGCAGTCTGAAAGTAGCCTAATACGGGCCTTTTAATGAAGTTTCAGTGCTCCAGTGTTTTTCCTCACTTATGCATGCATTCGTGATGAGTTTACGAGCATGTTTCACAATTTAAATCTGATACAGGCCCTACAAAAACACCTTTGATGCAAGAATATAGTTTATGGTTTAATACTTAAAGGTGCATTGTGTAACTTTTCTGGTGGAGGATGAATCAAATACTTTTCTCCATGGAGATGTTATTGCTTTGTCTGAAATGTTCGACAGTATGGTATTCTACCTTTCTATCTCCATGGAGACCAAACCAGATCAAGTTACAGGTCAGATCTGTGGAGAGGCAACCCCCTTTCGTCGTTTTTCTAGGTATTTTTAAGCTATAAAAATATAAAATGTAATACATGTAAAGTAGAGCTGTAAAGACAAGATCGGAACTACGAGAATGAGACAACACGAGATTTTGACATTCTTTATAATAAATAAATTGTGTAATCCAGTTCCCAGTTTTGGCCTCATCACTTTTTATTTACTTTATTGAATATTTTTTGCTGTCATTGTAGCAGTGCTTTTTTTGGGACTACAGCTTCTCAATAAATAAATAAATAAATCCATTTTTGTATCAAATTGAAATGTAAAAACATAGAAAATAAAATCCTCACAAGATAATTTTCAGAACGTACGCTCAATCTCATGGCAATTTTGTCTCGCGAGATCTTGTGGCACGAGATCTTGTCCCCTCCCTATCCAGTAGAGCTGTTTTATTTCATACTGTGGAACATTCTAAGAGCAATGACACCTCCATAGAAACAAGCCGGTGACGAACACTCCACCACAAAAGTTACACAATGCACAGTAGGCCACAGACCCAAATAAAAGTATCTTAGAATGAAAAACCTTAACTCACATATGAATTTAATAGTCTGACATTTACTTAGACAGCAAAGCCAGTCTCCAGATATGTAATAATTGATATATTATAGTGGTAGTTGCAGTACCATTCAGTTTGTACAGCATCTGATAAAAATTAAAATACACACTGTTGAGTAACACAGGAAACATCTGCAACATGAGCCTTGTCTGTGAGCCTCAGACTTTAACCTCGACCGACCAATCACGGCGCAGATCTGACCGGGCCAGAGGAATGTGGGACTGTGTGGGCTGAAAAGATTGATTTAAGATGGCTGTCCCCCCTTTTAATCAAAACACAGGATGTAGCAGTGGCTCAGGGGTACAGCATCTACCCAAATACCAGAAGGTCATGGTTTGAGGGTTGTGTCATTTTGTTTAGTTATACTCTTCATTCACCTTACTACATTATAATGTGTTCATTTGCTTTTGTGACTGGCTCTGTCCACAACTGCTTCACTATTTCCAATCCCATTACTTCTCTTGGAGCTTTTTGAATCGTGCTAAAATGACTTTGCAGTTGAACTCATTAACATTGCTTATGGGTGTTCACTGAAAGCACTACTCTGTGAAAAGCTCTGTTACTCAAGTTAGACTTAATCCGAGGTTTATTTGAACACGATTTGACCAGAAAGAGCTGACTTGGTTTGAACTCACACATAAAATTGCAGTCACAAGCTACTGTATCTTAGCCAAGCTGGTGCCACCTAGTGCCTCCGCTCAATTTCATTTTTCTCCAGTGACTAGCTCAGGAATCGAAATACACTAGATGATTTGCAAGAACCACGGACACCAGCCAATCAGTGAAGAGACATACATTCTGTGCTGGCAACGATTCCTGAGATCGAGGATTTAAAGCCAGAACAAAGAGAATGTTTGGTGAATTTTATCAAGGGGAAAGACGTTATTGCCCTTCTTCCCACGAGGATTTTTTGTTTGTTTGTTTGTTTGTTTGAAATTGTCAGTGAAAGTTTAAAACACCATTACAGAGACGGAGCAGCCTTGTAATTATGATGAGCAAAAAAAAAAAAAAAAGAATGAAAATCTATCAACTGTGGACATAGTGAGGCCAGATAAACATCAGTCTATAGGTGAGTTTCAGCTGACGTCATTGTTATTAAAAGCCCGCGTTGCATGCTGGGAAATAGTTTGGTTGGAGGCCAGAAACACAATAGCGGTCAAACACAGTGCGTAACCTCGCGTATTTATCCCCGATAATGGTAAATTCCTGCTGCAATATCGGATGCACAAATAGAAGCACGGAAGAAGGAAAATGTATTTTTCGTATTCTGAGTGAAAAGAACAGCTGAAATTAAATGGCTTTCAAACATTTGCAGAGCAAACATAGAAGATCCTAGCAAACCATGGACTCCAACAAGTTCAACGACGCATCGAGACTCTTGGACGTTTTCATCTTTTCTGCTGTGAATGGCCCAGGAGTTTCCACCAAGTCATTGTGGAGATTGCCAAAGTGAATATTTAGCCAGGTAGTTGGCGATTCTGACCAGAAATTTAGCTTAAGCCGACGAAAGGTCTAAAAAAACGACGCGCCGGTCGCTAAAATATTTCTAGACGGGTCACTTCAACAGTAATTCTGAACGCGCACTGGCTGTAAACAAGCATGATTTCTAGAGTAAGGAGGCAGGAGGAGGTGTTTCTACTGAGGGAGCTGTGGAGGAGGAAGGTCGTGTCACGCATGCACATCATTTGAAAAAGGACTGTCGCGGTATTTCACTTTCATTAAAAAATCCTCTATACAACCTTTAATATACCAGTTAGCCCCGTTACTGGCGCATTACATACATCACAACCAAATAGCCGCAATTTGTTAAATTAAAAAGTACCCCCCTACCGTTGACTGAACAAATCCTAATGCTGCCTGGTCAGACTGTTTCCACAAAGTGAAACCGGCTGATGAATCAGGCTGTATCTAACTGTATCTACCATTAGCCAACAGTTCTTCAGTTAATCACTCTCAACTTTATTGAAAATGAAACTGTGTTGTGTTGTTTAAACCCATTTTATATTTGGTCTTGAGTTAATACTTTTTCATCTGTGCTTGCTATTGTTTTCATTGTGTCACCATAGTATTATATATGATGAAAGTTCTGCCAATAGAGATACATGTAAAACACCCCCAGCGTGATGTCACTGCAAAGTAAAGATCACACAGCGGATATTTAGCTGCAGGTGGATATCACTGGACATAGGCGTTTGTTTCTAGACGCTTATGCAAATTTTGAAGCATAATAAATATGAAACTACTGCCACGAGCCAAAGTAATCTACATATAAAAACAATTGGGTAAACTTTACTAATTAGCACCACTTGGCAAAAAAACCCCACAGAGATATAATAAAAGCGAAAGAAATTAAGTGTTTATTTAATGGTGGTGATGCACAAGGTTATTGGTGCAGATTAGCAGCCGCATTTCTGTCAGTCTGCCCCAGGGCAATAGCGGCTACTGTTTAGAAAGTATTTTTAGTGGATTTTTGCGTCAATTATTTTCAAGGGTAAGACGTGTCAACTGAGTTTCCTGTTTCAGATTGAGTTTGAATTACTGTGTGAACACTGTGCGAGTTGCGATTACATCTGAGCAGGAATAGAACCAGCTACTCTCCAGCATATGGTGCATACGGCAGGTTTTCTCTGCCTCTTTTTTTTTTAGTTTTTTATTTGGTGTGATTATACCTGTGAAAACATTAACCATAGTTTTACACCAATTAAGAGGCAGTTGTAAGAAAAAATGTTGAAAATTGCATAAGGTGTAATGCTGAATTATTCAAAGGAATCCCTCCGTCTATGTGATTGTTCATTTCACAAATTAGGTGTTCTTGTATATTTTTGTTTGTTTAAAGCAGTGTATTATTAGCCAAGCTGGTGCTACATAGTGTCTCCATTCAGTTACATTT